AACTGAACCTAAGGCCATGCATACACCAGGCAATTAAGTGTTCCATCACTGAGCTATGGTCCCAGCTTTTTCCTGTTTTTTTTTTTTTTTTAACTTTTCTTTTGAGACAGCCCTCAAATCTGCACTCCTCTGCCATAGCCTCCAGGAGAGCTGTGATTACAGGCCTTTGTGCTGTCCTGTCTTGTTTTATAAACAGCAACTCCTATTTTAAACAATTACATTTACTAAATTCATAACAAAATAAACTTGGCAAATACACAGGGATTGACAGCCATCCCTACAAAGACTTCTAAAGCAGGCTCCTGTTAGTAAAAGTGGATACTGACTACTATCAGCATCCTTAATAAGATATGTGTGCTAAGGCCCTGCACATGCTAGGCAAGTGCTCTACCACTAAACTATATCCCTTTAAAACATGATTCTATATAATTCTTTCAATCTTTAAAAACTGACATATTATGAATATAAAATTTTAGTTCTGTCCAAGATTAAGTGAGGGAGCAGGCTCAAAGTGCTTGCTGCCAAAGCTGACTACTTGAGTAGGAAGCTCGAGTGAACGACAGGTGCACACATGGGCACACACACACTAAATGCAAAGACAACTAGTGACGTTATAATTTTCTTGTTATTAAGCTACAATGAAAAGGCCATAAGATGAAAAGGGGTATTACAGATACAGGGCACGTCAGGCAAGTGTAATCTCAGCAAAGGGAGGGCTGGGGTAGTAGGAACTTGTCTCAAAAAATAAAACAAGGAAAACAAAAAGCCCCAAAGTCAGAGTTACTGAGTTTGAATTCTATTATAGTTTTTTTTGTTTGTTTGTTTGTTTGTTTGTTTTGTTTTTTGAGTCAGGGTTTCTCTGTGTAGCCCTGGCTGTCTGGGAACTCGATTTGTAGATCAGGCTGCAGGCTGGCCTGGAACTCACAAAGAGCCACCTGCCTCTGCACGCCCCGCCCTTATCCCTGACAGTGCTAGGATTAAAGACATTCACTACCACGCCCACCACTACAGTCATTTATTAGGTGTATGATCCTACTTTCTATTTTCACAGGAGGGACTAAAGAAACCATCCATTGGTATGTGGAGTATGTAGAAAATTTCTTAATAAAGAAAAATGAAAAAAAAAAAAAGAAAGAAACCATCCATTTGGTCATGGTGTTTCTCATAAGAAAAAATAAATCATGTGAAAGAATACAAAGTAATTATAAAGAGCTGGGTGAAGTGACATGCCTTTGATTCCAGCACTTGGGAGGCAGAAGCAAGTGCATCTCTGTGAGTTCAAGGCCAGCCTGGTCTACATAGTGAATTCCAGGACAGCCAGAGCTACATAGTGAGACCCTGTCTTGTGAAGACAAAACCAATTATAAAAAGAAAACTTGCCGGGTGTTGGTGGAGGACGGCTTTAATCCCAGCACTTGGGAGGCAGAGGCAGGCAGATCTCTGTGAGTTCGAGGCCAGCCTGGTCTACAGAGCGAGTTCCAGGACAGGCACCAAAACTACACAGAGAAACCCTGTCTCAACAAACAAACAACAACAACAACAAAAAAAAAAAACCAAAAAAATAAAGAAAAAAAGAAAAAGAAAACTCTGAAGCCATTCTAGGAAGAACTTTTGGTGTTATATATAGTGTCCCCCTACCTCCTCACAGCACCTAGTAGTTTCTTACCTCATTGCTGGTCATAGCTTTAAACTTCCCAACCTTTCTGGTTATGAAATTCTATCATCCCAAGGTTTATAGCATGAAAAACAGACAAACAAGCAAGTATAATGCAGTATGTTAAGTGTGATAGCTATTCTTGGTTGTCAACTTGACTATATTTGGAATGAACTACAATCCAGAAACAGAGGGTACACTTGTGATCTGGATCTTGAGGCAGGAAGGCACACCTTTCATCTGGCTACATCTTCTGCTAGAAGTCTAGATAAGGACAATGGAAGAAGGAAGAGATTGTGCATTCTTTCACCTGCTTGCCCTCACCTTGTCAACACGTCCATTCCTTTACTGGCACTGCAGCCTGCTTCTTCATGATTCTGGCATACAGCATATACAGAAGACCAGCTGAGCTCCCCAGCCTCGGGGGACTGAGCAACTACTAGATTCTTGGACTTTCCATTTTTGGACTGCAGACTGTAAGTCATTCCAATAAATTCCCATATATACAAGGAGGGAGGGAGGAAGAGAGGGGGGGGAGAGAGAGAGGGAGAGAGAGAGGGAGAGAGAGAGAGGTATTGATTGATTCATTCTATAAGTTGTATGACCCTAGGAACCCTAATGCAGATTTTTGGTACCAGAAGTGGGGCATTGTTGTAACAGACCTGACCATGTTTTTGGAAGGACTTTGGAACTTTGGGCTAAAAGCGCCATTGAGTGTTAAGAGCACTGAGGGATATTCTGTGGAAGCTTGGAAAATAAGAATGTTGAGAGTAGTACAGAGCATGGAGGCCTGGCCTGTGAAGTTTCAGAGGGAAGTTTAAAGACACTATCAGGGCCATTTGTTATTCTGAATTAAGATTCTGTTCCAGTTAGCTGAGGCTGAAGAATCAGCTGTTGTTAACGAGATACCAGAACTACTAAAGCTAAACTTTGCTTTGCTGAATACTTGATGCTGGTTAGCTGGAGCTAAGAAATTAGTGGTGACTAAGAAGAGACCAGCATCACTGAGGTGAAATCTTCTGGGAAAGCATTTCCTGAGAGCACAAAGAAGCTGTCTTCCAGAGGTGGTCAAAGTTGTACCTTGTGCTGGCAGCCAGACTTGGTAATGTGTAAGAGTCACCAGGTGGTTCTGGTTTTGAGGGCACGAAGAGCAGCTGAGGCTTGGCACTGTGAGAGAGAGGCCACTCGTAGGTGCAGCCTCAGTGGCAGTTGAAGGCCAGGACCGAAGGGGTCATGCAAAGAAGTTGAGGCTTGGCACCATGAAGAGAGCCTATGAAAAAACTACTGGTGCAAGTGCAGCCCAGGTGCAGCAGAAGAGCCCGGTGTTTTGGAGATGCCAGTACCATGGGATGACCACGAAGAACAGCAGCAGCAGTGGAGGAGAGCCAGGCAGAGCCTAGAAGACAGGCTATGTGTGCTGCAGAGGGCAGAGCCTGAGAAGTGACCCAAGCCCTTTGGAGGAGTCCAGAAGGTCTTGAGTAAATCCCAGAATGTTGGACATTGAGTTATTTATACTGTTGGAGTTTGGTTTTTCTTGCTTCAGATTGTGACAGTGCCCTGATTCTTCCCTCTTGAAGAAAGTATTTAATTTAATTTTGATCAGCCAGAGATGGAAGACTTGAACTTGGCCCACGCCTTTAATCCCAGCACTTGGGAGGCAGAGGCAGGTGTATCTCAGTGAGTTCAAGCCCAGCCTGGTCTACAAAGGGAGTTCCAGCCAGGAATGTTACACCAAGAAACCCTGTCTTGAAAAACAAACAAACAAAAAGAGTGAAATTTTAATGTGTTTGAATTTGTAAAGACTGTGGGACTTCTAAAGTTATTTGTGAGATCTTGGGGGTAAATAAGAAATGAAGGGTTGTGGCTTAATAGTGATGTGTTTGTGTGTCAAGTTGACAAGGGGTCAGTTGTGCTGGCTAGTTTTGTGTGTCAACTTGTCATTAAGCTAGAGTCACCAAAGAGGAAGAAGCCTTAATTCAGGAACTGCTTCCATGAGATCCAGCTGTAAGGCATTTTCTCAATCAGTGATCAATGGGAGAAGGCCTTGCCCAGGGTGGTTGGAGCCATCCCTGGGCTGGTGGTCCTGGGTTCTATAAGAAGGTGGGCTGAGTAAGCCATGAGAAGCAAGCCAGTAAGTAAGCAGCTCCCCTCCATGGGCTCTGCCTCAGCTCCTGTCTCCATGGTCCTGCCTTGTTTGAGTTCCTGTCCTGACTTCCTTCAGTGATGAACAGCAAAGTTGAAGTTTAAGCCTAATAAACACTTTCCTCCCCAACTTGCTTTTTGGTCATGGTGTTTCCTCACAGCTGTAGAAACCCTAACTAAGATATTAAGCTTGGTGATATTCCTGAAGATCTATCCAAAAGCTTGGCAAGAAAACTGCCCTTTTTTGCTTTGTTTGTGTGTTCTTGGGTTATTTGTTTTTGTGGTTTTGTGTGTGTGTGTGTGTGTGTGTGTGTGTGTGTGTGTGTGTGTGTGTTCCCCTTTGAGATAGTGTATCTCTATGTAGCCCTGGTTGTTCTGAACTTGCTATGTAGACTAGGCTGGCCTGGAATTGACAGAAATCTGCTTCTGCCTCCTGGATGCTGGGATTAAAGCCACCACACCCACTGAGAAAACTGCTCTTTACATTAAGTTATGCAATAGAAAATGGGTTTGGAGAGATGGCTCAGTGGTTAAGAGCACTCGCTGCATTCTTAGAAGACCTGGGTTCAATTCCCAACTCCCACATGGCAGCTCACAAACATCTGTAACTCCAGTCCCAGGGGATTCAAAGCCCTCTTCTGTGCCATCTCTGTGGTCACCAGACACACAGGTGGGTGCACAGACAAAATACCCATACACATCAAATAAATACCATTAACTTACTTTTAAAAAAGAAATAGAAAATAGGTTTAAAGCAAGTTATTTACAAGCTCCTCTTTTAAAAACGTTTTGAATTAAAACACAATTATACCATTTCCCCTTCCTTTTGTTTCCCCCAACCCTTTCCATGTCAGTCCCTCTCAAATTCCTGCTTCTTTTTGTGATTGTTTTACACATATGCATGCACACACCTAAGTATATAAACACTACCTGCTTAGTCTGACTAGTGCTATATACGTGTATGTGTATGATTTCAAGGCTAACTACTCTGTACCAGACAATCAATTAGGAGGCTCATCCCAGGGGAAGACGATACTCTCTAACTCTCAGTATTCCCTGGTTACTTACAGCTCATCTTACAGTTAACATAGCTTCTACCCAACAGGATTTGCACTGTGATTCTCAGTGAGTATTTTTAATCACTGTGTAAAGTTTACTTTCATAATTATTAAAGTATCAAAACAGAGCAGATATATGCATCCCAGTTCAGAGCAGCAAAACTTATCCTAAGAACAAAAAACTCCCTGGAGTTTATTTAATACTAAGTCAGATTCAAAAGGACTGCACCATTCTCTAAATTTTGGATTTAGTCTTGGAATTTAGAATTCTCTAAATTGAGAATATTTAATCACAAGTCGGTAGGAGATGGGCTGCTCACAAGGATAGTACACTCATAAAATGAAAAAGACAGTGATCTGTCAGGAAAGAACACTAAAATTCAAAGACATTTAGAACTGTCAAGTTATGAGGGTCAATTATGACAAACACTAAACTGTGCCATGTAAAGTCAGTTTTTCTTTCAGATAAATAAGTTGGTGTATCATCCTTTGGGGTTTGTTTGTTTGTATGGGGAACAGGGTCTCAGGGAGCCCAGAATGGTCACCAAGTTGCTATGTAGCCGAAGATGACCTTGTCCTGTCTCTGCCTTCCAAGTGTGGGGGTTTCAGGTATTACCAATCCTGAGCTTTGATTTGTCTTGAAATTAGATATGGTCATGTAGCTCTGATCAATGAAGCCTTTAAAAAGGCTTTCCTCCCTTTTTTTCTAAAGACAGTCTCATACCATACCTCACACTAGTCTGTAACTCACTATGTAGACCTAGGCTAGCCTTGAACTCACTCAATTCTACTTCAGCCTACCAAGTGCTGGGATTACAGAAGTCAATTTACCATACCCTACTTTAAATAAATGACCAGTTTGTGATTTCTACCAGTTTCACCATTATCATGACAGCCTGCCATAGGTCAGAATATCAGAACTCTGCAGATACATTCCTGAGCAAGGCCAACACAGAACAAAGCCCCCAGACAAATGTGCATTCCGAATCAAGGCGAAACAAAGCGCTGTTGTTTAACCTGAGACCTGGGGACTGTTTGCTACTGCAAAGTAATTTAGTCCTTCCATACTGATAAGCCATACAAGTAATGTTGTGAGTATAGAATGATTTGGTCCATCCCATTAAATAAGATGTAAACTGATGCTCCCAAAGAGACATAATTTCTTTCTAAGTATTACTTAAGTTTCCAAACAGGTCTGTCAATAAGATTAAAAATTATTTATATGTAGTATCAGTAAACCAGTAACTCACTCAATGAATGTCACCCCATAAAGGTTGAGAAATGGTCTGCCAACCTCTCTTCATCTCAAAACATATTTTCTAGGTGAGAATCACTCCATTTTCCATGTCGGTCATCAGGTAATTATTAGTGTAGGGAATCACATAAAAGATATATACATTTTTTCCCCTTTTTTCTTTTTTAAAGAGACAGGGTGTCAGTGTGCGGCCCTGGCTGTTCTGAAACTCACTACATAGACCAGGTTGGCCTCAAACTCAGAGAGATCCATCTACCTCGGCCTCCTGAGAGCTGACTTAAGAACCAGGATGTCCAAAACAAAAAGGCCAGGGATGTTTTCAGCTACTATCCCGTGAATCCTCCATGGATAAAATGCCAAATGTTGGTCAATACTTAATATTGTTTACTACAATAGTATATTCTGTTGATGATGGTAGTAAGTAGTATAGGGCATAGGCAGGGTTTTTCTAGTAATGAACAAAATTATATTTCGAAATTAAGCAGCACAGACAGGGAAGTACTTTCATAGTTCAGAAAGGCAGACCCAGAAGAGTGGATGCTTCACTACTACTGCATAACATTTCTACACTG